TCTTCTTGGATGATTTTTTCCCCAAACAGGGCAAAGAAGCCTGATATGAGTGCTTCCCTCTACTTAGACACCTGTGTGGCCCATTACATTCCATTTTCAGAGGACACTGGTAGTGCCTAAATACAGTATCCAGTGACAGTTAATTAGGTCATCCATAAATGTCTTGCACAACAATAAACTGTTAGTGTTGTAATTGAGAGTGTAGTGATTCTTTAACCTACTGATAAAACACAAAGCACGAGGAAAATACCTTGGTTGGAGAACACACAGTGTGTCTCAATATTGCCTGTCAGTTAAGTTTGAAGGTTATCTTCTTAGACTGCTATGGTTAGGCATAAATAATTTGGTATCTCTTCACTTATATTTCTTTTTCTTTTTTTTTTAGAGGCATGTTTTATTTATTTGTTTGTTTGTTTGTTTGTTTTTGTTTTTATACAAGCACTGGGTACAGTCAGAAGCGTGGGAGGGTGAGAGAATTCACCCGAGCCAGAGCAGGGAGCAGAGCAGGCAGAAGGACGGAAGTACACTGCTGAGGGGAGCAGAGGGCGGCAGGAGATGTCTGCGCGCCATGTGGGACCCTCCTCCGGTGGCCGGGGAGCAGCCGGGGATCGAACCGGCGCAGCAGAGGCTGCGGGCAGCTTCTCAACCCAGCGCTCAACCGCTGCGCCACCAGGGAGGCCCTCTTCACTTATATTTCATTTCACTTAATGGAGCTTGCCCTATGGCTACAGGAGTCATTGCCAGCAATTGGGGGGTCAAATTCACATGGTGTTACTACTATTATTATACACATGATTTCTAGTGTAGAATTTAATGCATAAAATTGCAGAGTAAGAGCTTGATGTGTACATTATTCTTTCCTGTTACTCTAAATTGTCATCACCAAATATATCAAGCACTAGAGTTAGCGATTATATAAAGAGACAAAACACCCCTATAAAAATATTCATATAATTTATTTAAACCATGAAGGTTTTGCCTTAAGCCCAAATTTCCATCCCACTTCTATTATTTAATAACCTAACAATGCATTAAGGTCATTTAGGGTCCACCATTCAAGTACTGACCATGCCAGACCCTGCTTAGCTTCTAAGATCAGGAGTGTTCAGGGTGGTATGGCCATAGATTAAAACTGTCATAATCCCATAAGTATTTCTGGAGCAATAGCAGTCAGTTAATGATATAACTCCTTACTCTCGACTAGGAAGGCCGATGGGTTACAGCATGATAAAGGAGATCTGTATTCTACCCTTTAACATCTAAACTCCAACAAAATTCAGCTGGGTTGTACCAACTCAGACATCTTAATAAAGGATAAATGAAAGTATGTAAATAATACAGACCTATACATGGTTGCAAATAATCACACTGCCCCAAAGCTACCACCCTTGTGGCATCAAATGTGTTTTCATTTTAACACTAGCTGATTAGGTGAGGAAAAGGAGAAAACATTGCTAACTGATCATAGTATGTATTTATATGTGTATTTATTTTTACATAAGTTAATATTGAAATGGATTAATATTCTAACATTTTCTTGTTCATAATTCCATGTATCAGATAAAAACCACTGACTTTAAATTGCTCAAAGGAAAGGATTGCAACTTCATTGTTATTGTCACTAATTTAAGTGCTTAAGAAATCACCAAATTCTACCAGTTATATTTTAATATATTTAATAATTAAGTTACATCTTAATATCCAGTTCTATTTTCTTGATCTGTCAAGTTAACAATTTTGGCATCTACTAAGCAAAAAGATATATATTTTTAACTATGAAAATACTACTGCTCTTCTACAGTGAATGAAACACTATTTCCCTAGTGTTTGTCAATAACTTCCAGTGAAATGATCACGCTCATCTGACAGATTAGGAATGCATCCAGGGCCAGGACTAAGTGACTCTCACAGATAGAATGATGAGTAAAATTTTCTCAAGTTGGTCTAATTTTCCTCTATGTTCTAACCACCTAAAGTAACTAATTATAAGCAACTAAAGCAAAGTGGGCAATTTTGATAAATGATTGGTTTTTAAGTCGCTTAATATGATAAAAATAGATGGTCTGAAAGTAATTATTAGCTTATTTGAAATCAAATAGCTCATTCTTTTTGTTAAGTAACTGTGCAACTGTAAACTCTTGGGGACAAACCTAAAGTGATGGGGTTTTCAAACCCATTCAATTATTGCTCTTTCCATGCTACGTTGTTCTAGACTTCCCAGAATTACTATGAATAAAACTCACTAATCTAGATCAGAAAAAAACTGCTTTTACCCCCTACTTTCATGGGGCCTTGGCATACACTTGCAGAGTCATGGCAGAAAATACCACCCATCAGTTTTAAGATTAAGATTAAGAATGTTTTAAGATTAAGAATGTTTCAAATAAGGAAGGCTGTGGCTGTGACATTAAACAGTCTTATGGCTCAATAAATGTTGTATTACATAGCCATTCAAGAGCATTCATGACAGGAGAAACTGGATAAAATCTGACCTCAGTCACATAGTTCAGCATTCTCTAACATTAGTGCACCAGAAAGAGACATTGGCTTGCTTAAAAATAGGAATATCCAGACATCCTGAATCAAAATTTTAGACATAAGGAATGCCACAAAGATTAAACATATGGGAACACTCATGTATCCTCCTATCTAAAAAGCTCATTTTCATTAAGAGGATCCTTATTGGAGTCACTTACTTTCTCAAAAGTGTAGCAACATTTACAGTATTTTAAAAGTTTAAAGATCCATTCCTAAAACAAGCCTGACATTGGTCTCCTGTAAGTCAGTGCTTCTCAGAGCTTACCAGACAGTAAAAGCAAGACTCATTAAAAGCCTTGTTTAGAGCTATTTGTTCTATAAACAATTGTATCATATGTCAAATATGTTTCCTAAGGTGGTAGGCCACCACGGATCTGGCAATCTTTTTGTGTGCTCCCATTGTTTCAAGAACAGCTGGGGTTTTGTACAGTGAATGACAGGGTTTTCCTTCCAGGGTTTCCACCTATTGAGACCACAAGGGCAAATGCTTTCACTCAAGTCTGGTTGGTTAAAAATCCAGTTTAAAGGGAACAATAGGACATCATGTCAATACGAAGATTACTACAGTAATTAAGAAGTCTGAGTATTTTAGACTCTATTACTATAAATCAAATATACTTAAGTAAATCAACCTGAAATTTAGTTTCCCTGTCTATAAAATTAAAGAAGTGAATTATATCTTTATGACCTATTTTTCAGTTTTAATATGTGTAACTCACTTTCACATTTCAATATCTTGTCCTAAAACTGCAGTCATTTTCTCCTAATCAGTATCAGGGGTATTTAAAACAGAGAAAAACTAATACATGCTTTTGTTCATTAGAACAGGAAAGGATTGGGTATTCTTAAATCTACTTGGAACCAGTGTTCCAGCAGCTACTGACCACTTGGATTACTGCCGGCAAGCGCAGCTCCAGTCATTTCCTGCCACTGGGTTCACGCTGGATAAGCAGCAGAGGCCCTGCCTCCCTGCCCGGTTTTGCACTTGGTCCTGAGCAAGTTACTTAGTCTCTCCGATCTATTTCTGTATCTGCAAAATGGGGACAATATTCAAAGCACCAATACTTTTTGGATTGTTATAAAAATTAAAGGTGATACGCCCCCACATGGAACATAGGATGCCTGGCCCAAGGCAGGCACTCTGTAAGTAGTACCAGTTATTTTAATGATCATAACTACATGATTATAGCACTCCTATAACTCAGAGTTTAACTGAAGAAGGTTCAGGAGGGCACTGGTAGAGTCAGACTGTTGCCATAGCCCTTGACCCTTTTCTTTGTGAACTGAAGAGTGCCACTGCACTTGCTAAATAGAATGAATGAACATTCTTAGTTCCTATGTCTCTTTCCAGGAACTGCACATCACGCAGCCCTAAAGAGGAAATAATTTAAGGAAGCAGGGGAAATGATCAATGAATTAAAGGTTATCTCTTTCAAAAAAACTGGTAACAGGTTACTTTCCCTAGGGAGGACACCTGTTGACTTAGAGTTGGGGGAGGGGGGATTTGATCATTTATATAGATCTTCATATCTTTTGAATTTTGAACCTTAAGCAAATCTGACCTCTATTAAAAGATACAGCATTTTTTAAGGAAAAAAAATAATCTTTATTTATTCTTTTCGTGCTTCAAGGTGAGAGATCACACTTGGACAAAGCATTTTTTATTACGTTAATTTTTCAAAAGTGAAGACATAATTTGCATTTTTAGAACAGTATGCCTTCACTCATAAGTTGGGGAACTGAGAGGTGAGCATCACATGCCTTTCAGAGTCCATGTGCCTTTTACTGCTGTTCCCCAGTACCCCCACAGCTGGAAGAGTGTGACTAGATGCTAGCAGAGGACAGAGAAACAGAAGGAGAATCTATTTTGGTTCAAGATTATTCAGATTTTGGCTGATATTTACACAAAGGAACCAAATTTAATTCCTATTGCAGATTTGAAAAGGACTTTATCTTCAATGCTAGTATACTGCCCAGGGGAGGGAGAGACCTGATTTGAAAAGGACACAGGGCAAACCTAGTATGTATGTGTGCATATGTGCAAGTTTCTCAAAGATAGTTTTTCTAAGAAAGAAAGAAATCTGAAAAAACCATTCTCCCAAAAATTAAGACTGGCTCAGAAGTAGGTTGCATTTTATTTGAGCAACTAGAAGCTACTATAACAAAGCACAAGGTTAATTTTCTCCTTTTATTCATCATTTTCCAACCCTGAGAGAATTATGTGTGATTGTATGACGAGAACGGCCCTAAAAAGAAACATCTTAAATCTCCTAATTATCATATTGTACCCTATGGCAAAATGGATTGTGAACAAATAATTGTATGTTGAAAGTGTTCTGCATTAAAAACATATTTAGAATTCTAAAATGTATAAATATATGTACTTATGAGAAAATGGACTTCTATATAATACATATATATATATATATATATATATGAAGTTACACGCAAAGCATAAGGATGAAAATACACCATGCTTGAGTAGTTCAGAATCAGGCCTGTGTGTTTGGTTTACCATCTTTTACAAAAGTTTAAGTTTCTGAAAACCTTGGTATAAAGCAGAGCAAAACTCATTACATCATGGCTTGTCTCCTGCCTGTTCAACTTATTTAATTATATTTGGCTGAAGACTGAAAAAACTGTGTTGGTTTCACAAGTCCCAATTATGTTCTTGAGAGGTATACTTTAGGCATATAGAAAACAGCATGCACTGGGCATAAGAAGGGTATGTGAAAAAAGCAGAAGTGTGGTTGCTGACACAAAGTGGCCTCTCAGGTGAGCAGGATTCAGACACACACTACTTGGCAGCTCATTTTCATTACTTGCCCATTTCCAATGACTTAACATCATGAACTACCTAGTTAAATATGACAATGTGACATAATCCCATGATCCAGGGTCAATAATTTTTATATCCAAAAGTCTAGATTCTGAAATTTTGGATTTAAAAAAATGATACAAATGCAGCCACAGTCCTGGATTCTCCACAGTACTGTGCACATATGCAATGTTCATACAGTTTCCACCTTCCTGTTTGCTCTGTTTGGCAAGAGATTGTAGGCAGCATCTGTTTAAGGTTGAATGGAGAACTATCCAATTGTGTTATTTTAGTAGCCAAAGCTTTGGTTTCAAGAAGAAATTAGATCACTAAGAATTGAGTTCTTGTTCAATTTGAGAGCTTGGCTCTCAAGCAGTTCCTAACTTCTGAAACAGTTTTAAGAGCTTAAGCATCATCTGTAAGGCAAATGCCCCAGCTTACCTACCATTCTTCCAGAACCCCAGTTTAATTAGCCGTGTGCTTCATAGAAGTTTAAAGCCCTCTGAGCACCCGGGGTTGAATTTTCACCAGTAACCTGGTGCTTTTAATTCCATTCTCCTTGCCTGTGATTGCTTAAGGAAGGTTATGATGAAAATCTAGCTGGTGAGACTCAAGAGGGAGTCTGCTGCTGAAGGCCTTCTGTGTAAGTTTTCCTTGCTCTTAAAACAGAACAAAAGAAAAGGGTGTGTCTTGTCCCTCTCTGGTGTCTGCCACTGTGGCAGTAATATGAGGATCAGGAAACCCACCTAAACAGGAAACAGAATGGGTAGAAAGAATCCAGTTGTGGTGCAATCATTAAGTCACTGAAGTAAGCAGCCCTGGGATTTCCAGTCTCTGTACTTCTAGTTTTATGAGGCAATAAAATTTCCTTATTATTTAAACCACTGGGGAGATGGGCGACATCTGCTATCTATGGCCCCAAGTAATCAGATGCAATCCTCTTCCTCGAAATAACACAGGCTATTTTTTTTTTTTTGAAGAGTACAGATGCACATAAAATCCCCACCTGCCTTTTTTTTTTGTCCACCTACCTTTTAAACTAAACTAACTCTTAAGTGAGTACTAACTTTACCTCCTGTCTCCAAAATCTAGACTCCTTGAAATAAAACATGTTTCGTGTTCTCTGTCAGGAATACCATCCTACCCAGCTCAATCACTTAGAGCCTAGTTCAAAATCTGCCTCCTACATGAATAACTTAATCCTTGCCTACATTTTTCTGTAATTCTAACATATAACATTTATTGCGTTTCACTGTTCACATCTTATCTGCCCATTCTCATGTCTCCCTGCCAATGTCTACCACTCTGAGCACACATTTGATTTTTAGTAATGAATGAATTAATGAGTATAAAGCATCATTTTCCTTCACCTGAAACTTGGGTGTTTCCTTTCCTCTTTTCTTCCTTGTCTTCATTCCTCATCTTACTTCTCTATAGAAGACAAAAATTGAGATAAAAGAAATTCAGAGTTCAGACTCTGAAGGAAGAATAAATATTTTTAAATAAAGTTAAAAAATGGCATGCCCTACCACCTGGGAGTTACAAAAAGTGAAATTATGATGAATAGCAATTAGATGCTATACAAATGATGCCCTGTTTTGTACCTCCCTATAACACAATGACTAGCTCGATTAAACAAGGAATAGGTGGCACATTCTTAACAAATAAGAAGATATAGTTGAAAATATAGCAGATGTCTCATAAACAAGTGAATGATCACATAGCCTCACATGGTTAGGGCTTTAGGTTTGTAAACTAAAGCTTTTTATTATAAAAACAGAATGAAATGTGCATACTTGTAGTTAACACTGTTGTCTTGATGTAATGAACTTTATCTGAATGTGCTGACATAAACATATTTGCTTTAATGTAGACTTCAAAGTTGTTTTGAAATGGAAAATATATATATTGGCTTGTTTTTGTTTTTATTTTAAAATGCCTTTAACTGGTAGTTAAAATTCGAAATTTGGGACCCTCAGAGGAAGTTTCTAGATCATCATCAGGAAGGCCTACTATGTCACACAAACTGAATCTATAATGGCTACTTTTCTGCATAAAAGCTCTGGGCTATCCTTCTAATGAAATGGAATAAAGAGTATTTGCTCAGTTCTTGACCCAGTGTAGAAAATGGCTCACCTACCCTTGAAGGTATGCAAATACAATTTTAACTTGACCTTTTAACTTATTTCAGATATTTTTTGTTGTTACTTCCATAAGGTAATATAAAACCAACATTAAGAACTTCTGCAATATCTTTACATTATACAAAAGAATAAAAATTGTTGTAAATATTCAGATAGTTAAATGAGCACCACACACTATTGAAGTGTAACCAACATGGTTCTATTAAAAACTCTTCAACTCTGGCATTCAAAGACAGCAATACAATATTTTCTTTACAAAGCAACTAATATAAAAATCTGCAAATGCCATAAATTCATTCATAGGCTATTATTTTCATATAGGCATGTCATTAGATTCTTTCAATTCTTTCTTTCAATTCTTTCCTGAGGTATTTTATGTGGTTTACTCTTATTGTACTGCTGGATGCATTATCTTTGATCATCCTTTCCTAAAATGATTCTTAAAGACCTGCAAAAAAAAAATTATTGCATAGGACGCTATTCATGACATAGAGATTGGGAACTGTATATATGTAGCATTGGAACAAGTCTTACAAATATTGCATTTTAAGAATTTGTTACAAACTTTGTTTATACTTTGTTTCTTTTTAAAAATTGAAGTTACAGCTAAGAATTAACTACATACAGTGAAGCATTTTAGGAATGTTAGAGATTAGACAGAATACGCTGAATGATACAAAAAAAAAAAAGCCATAATTCTTGCCGGCTAAATATTGTATTGCCTTCAAAAGCAACTGTACATGTTGTAATCAGTTCATAGTTATATATTTCTACTAATCTGTTTTAGGAGAGCAAATGTCTTTCAAGGTTTCAAGTTCCTCTATAAGCTTCTTGTTCTGAACTTCCAGCACTGCAACACGACTCTCCAGACATTTTACATATTCTTTCTTTCGACGTCGACATTCTTTAGCAGCTTCCCTGGAAAAAAAAGGTAGAAGCAAAAGGGCAAACAAAACATTTTTTGCATGCTATTGACAAACAGTCTGAAGTAAGCATGGTAAATGTGATCATGGTTGGATTCTAAATCTTGGAACAACATTCCCAATTCAATTTCAAACACTATGCCAAACTGGATTCTTAAGGGTCACAAGTGTCCCTTCTACAAGTCCACAAGGCAATTAGTAGAATTGCTGCATCTCCTGCCTTGATTAGAGTTCATAGTAAACAAGGTCCAAGTCAAAGACAGTTACTCTGCTTTATGGCAATAAAGATCTTTGAGGGCCTTGAGTTCCTCAATGAGAGTCTTGTTTTGGTTTTCAAGCACAGCCACACGATTTTCAAGACATTTGACATATTCTTTCTTCTTCCTGCGACACTCCCGGGCAGCTTCCCTGGAACCAACACAAGGCAAATAACTAAAGGAACAACCTCCCAGCACAATCCAGAGTGGCTCAATAAACTTCTGCCCCCCAAACTCAACAGCCAACCAATCCTGGGTAAGGTCTGTGCAAAGCAACACAACAAATATACCCAAGCACATGCCTTTTTGTAAGATTACACTAAGACAACAGAAACAACTTGAGAGCACAATTAATTCATCTAGCATTTGTCATAAATGGCATTTTCTTAGGGCAAACATTCTGTGATGTGACCAGAATTATTTAGAGTAACACAAAAACAATAGGACTACATCCCCTGGTGGAATTTCTACAAACACATTCACAATTCCTTTCAATTCTTGTAATTATTTTTGTCCACCAAAAGCCACATATTCTATCACGAGTTAACTTCATTTGATCAAAACTATTAGAGAAATTAATCCTCAGAAACCTAAAATGTTAATATTGAAGATTTTAATTCTCTAAGACTAAATCTCAGTAAAACATATAAGATCAATCATGACTGCAAGAAACGGATTATTGGCTAGAAAACAACATAGATAAAAATGACAATAAACAAACCGTGCACATTTTCATAAACCAAAATAAAATACACACTGCTCTTGATAATTAAAGAAGGAGAGAAGGGAGGTACATGATGCAACAATCAATGATTCAGACATAATACAATACTCAATGATTCAGATTTAAATATAGGAATGTAAGAATACTACCATTAATGTTATAAAAGGGAAGCTAATTACTCAAAAGTGTTTTTCAAGACAGTTCTCTAATCACATGATTTTACTATCCAATATACTGAATTGTAAAGGATGTAGGCATGCCCAAAGGAAAGAACAGACCAACGACCAGAACAACAAATAGATGAGTTGAGTTAGTCACTTTCTTGTATAGCTCCACAAAAACAAAAACAATGAATGTAGTCAATATTTCTTTCTTTCTCCTATTATTTTAGGATGGAGTGGGTAGCAAGTACATCATTTAACTCCCTCTGTAGAGTATACACTCTGATAACAACTTTCTTTTGGGATATTCAATTGAGAATACTGTCTTTGGGGTATCTTTACATCAAAAGGCCTACATTAAAACAGATATTATAACTAAATAAATATATTTTAATAGACGTTATGTTTAATGTCCAAACAACAGTTATTGTACTGTCAAATTAGCACTGCTATGATTCTGAACTAGGTGTGATGCTTGCCACAGATTTTGCCAATTCTATTTCATTTTTAGCATAAGTAACTCTCACTAACAACTGGTTATCTGTGTTTTCTCTATGGGAAACAAGAGTCAACAGAAAAGGAACCTTGAAACCCCAATGAACTACAGGAAAAAAATCAACCCCTACTTCCTAGCCAAGAAAAACACACTCATCCAGTGAACTCACAAAGTTCTGACTTCTCAACTAGTTAACAAGAAATAAAAAATGTGTAAGTGAATTAAATCTGATACAGATTAATTTAATCTAAATGAATCACAAGCAAAAGATAAAGAAGAAATACAAGTATACTTATAAATTTGCCAGCTTGGGAATATAATTTAATTCTCTTCCACAGAACTAAAATACATTTATAGGGCCTCCCCGGTGGCGCAGCGGTTGAGCGCTGGGTTGCGAAGCTGCCCGCGGCCTCTGCGACGCCGGTTCGATCCCCGGCTGCTCCCCGGCCACCAGAGGAGGATCCCACATGGTGCGCAGACCTCTCCTGCCACCCGCTGCTCCCCTCAGCAGTGTACTTCGGTCCTTCTGCCTGCTCTGCTCCCCACTCTGGCTCTGGTGAATTCTCTCACCCTCCCGCGCTTCTGACTGTACCCAGTGCATGTATAAACAAAAAAACAAAAAACAAACAAATATAATAAATAAATAAAAACATGCCTCTATAAAAAAAAAACTATAAAAAAAATAAAATAAAATACATTTATAAATACCAAGGCTTTGTGATTTTTATCTTGTTATTAAATTGTAGATCTGGAAGGAAGATAGCTATTTTACAAAACAAACTGCAGTGTTGTGAGATATTTAATTTTTAAAATTTTGTTTACGAAGGTGTACTGTTTATCATACATATCCTTATTTTATATTTCTTGTGTATGTGATACCAGAGCGAATATGTCCCCCACACAAAGCTTTTAATGATCACAACAGTAGATGGTACATTCCGAAGTATTTCCCCGCTATGGAAAACACCTGCTTCTTCTATTAATAGCTAGCTCAGTTTTCAGACATTGCAATTGTCTGAACATATCCTCAGCATACAGAGCAAATGCATGGCAAAATGGAAAAGTTGGCCATGCCAAGATAAAAATGGTTGCTGGGTTGGTAGAAATATAACATAGCTAAATATCTGTCAGCTCCCCCTCCCCCCCCCAAAAAAAAAACAACAGAGAGAGAGAGAGAGAGAGAGAGGGAGAGAGAGTGACAGCAAGAGAGAAAGGGAGCGAGAGTAACAGTGAGAGAAAGAGAGAGAGAGAGAGAGAGAGAGAGAATATGAGGTCTCTCATACTAAATGGTAAAACCCACACATTCCATTCCATGAAGTAGAATCTGAAGCTTACACGGAGATGTTTTTGAGGAGGCTCTGGTGTTATAGTGCAATGAGGAGTAAAGAGAATCTGACTGCGTTTTCTGATTCTGTCTGGTTTGCAGTTTTAACCAACTTAGTACTTAACCTCTTTGAACCTCACTTCCTCATCTGTTAAGTAAGGATAATGTCATAACTATTCTGATGAGCAAGTTATGTGAGAGTTAAGGAAACTGTAGATAGCACTTAAAGTTTACTTATGGAACTTGCTCCACAGATATCTATTGTACTGAGCAGATACCATATGTTGAGCATAACATACCATATGCTGAATATAAGATACTGAGCAACCTAATAGCCATTTGCCATCTGCTTTTTCTAGTCTTGCTCTGAACTTGAGGTTTGGAAACTAAAGGCTGTTATCAGAATCCCATGCAGCTATGGATTTTATTTGCTACAGTCATGCATAACATAATGAACAACATTTTGGTCAATGATAGACAGCTTATATTACAGTGATATATATAGCATATATTATATTGCCTACAAGTTTGAGAAGTACACTCGACAATGTTTGAACAAGGGCAAAATAGCTCAATTTCACATTTCTCACATCATATTGTTAAGCAACATGGACTACATTTCTAGTCAATGAAATGTGGGTGAAAGTTGCTGGGAGAGTCTTCCAAGTAAACCTTTCAGAAGGGTCAGCCAGTTCCAATTTTTAGCTCTAGTGCACTGCATAGATGTGTGGTAGCCAACTGTGATCTTAATAACAAATGTCACATGCTGAAGATGACAAAGCAGGGAGGAGGAGGAGCCTGTATCCTTGATGACACTGTTGATTCTTGGTTTTAGCAGCACATACTGCTAGACAAGCTATGTAAGATCAAAATACCACACCTAAAGTCTCCATTTCTCTTATAACCAAAACACAAGTCGTTATTAGCTAATTGTTTTCTAAAGGACCAAAATGTTATGAGATTTCAGAGATGTCACATGCATATATAGGTAGCTGAAGAACATGTTTATAGGAACCACCTGCCTAAAATTTTATCTATTTCATTTTGGTAGTTCTACTGACAAAGTTTTTTCATCTAAAAATAAAGGTAGGGAATAATGACAAAAAAGGAAATAAGAGGGCTACTTCCAATTACTTTCTTCTTAGGAGAATAAGACATCAGTGAACAATTTTATAGTTTGCAGTATTATCAAAATTTATTATTTATGGACTACTTCAAAATGTGCATTCTATGATGAGAGAGGCAATCATAGTTCTAGAGATCTCTGAAAGTACAGTTTTAAAGTATCCACATCACACATCAGATCAAAGTTGTGGATCTTTATGGAACTTGTAGATAACAAGTTCCATACAAAATAATGATATTACATTATTCAAAATCCATCCATTCAGGATTTCTCAGCCAAATTCTGCTGATGGAAAAATATGAATACGGCATGACTCATTAAATCTGGAGAATGTATATATATATATTTTTTTAAGATTTATTTTATTTATACAAGAGCTAGGGTACAGGCCAGATGTGCAGGAGGCTGAGAGGATTCACCAGAGATAGAGTGGGGAACAGAACAGGCAGATTGTCGAAACACACTGCTGAGGGGAGCAGCGGGCAAGACAGGAGAGGTCTGCTCGCCATGTAGGTTGCTCCAGCGCCAGTGGGGATCGAACGGGCACTGCAGGGGCTGCGGACAGCTTCACAGTGCTGCACTCAACCGCCTGTGCCACCAGAGAGGCCCTATCTTTTTTTTTTTTTTAAAGATTTATTTTTATACAAAGCTGGGGTACAGGCCAGAGGCGCAGGAGGGTGAGAGGATTCACCATAGACAGAGCTGGGAGCAGAACAGGCAGACAACTGAAATACACTGCTGAGGGGAGCAGAGGGCGCAATAGGAGAGGTCTGCCACATCATGTGGGAATCTCCCTGGACGGCCGGGAATCAAACGCACACTGCAGAGGCTGCAGACAGCCTCACAGTGCTGCGCTCAACCTGCTGCGCCACCAGGGAGGCCCCAAGGATGTATATATCTTTAAGATCCTATTTTGGGTAATCTGATGATATTTCCAGGATACAAAATTCCATCTAGTGTGATCTATATATATACAAGCAGATTGGGAACTGTAGCCAACTTAAAGAGTTCTATAATATATCTAATTATATCATTTAAAAGTTATCATAAGCTGAATATAGCTGCTACTAGTTTAGTTACAAAGGACAGCAAAGAATTCAATACTTATATCTGAATTTTATAGGCTCAAAGCCACAACTTCTAGATTGACTAGGTTGCTAACATCTAGTAAATTAACTACTACCATGTGGTCCTGACTACAGACAAGCACATGAGTCCATTTGAAATGTTTTGTTTTCTTAAAATGATAAATATATTTAATACTTAGTAATAAGATGCAAGACTACTGGGATACCCCTTACTATTCTGTTCATTTCAAAAATCAGATTAATTTGTACCATTCTCCACAATAAAATTAAACCAAGAAATAATATGTAAGTTAAATTTTGATAAGAATTTTAGAAGACAGCATTACACTGGTATTTAAAAAATAAAATTATGGAGACAGTGCCAGAATAAATGATAAAATAAGATAATGGACTGGAAATATCATACAATAATACTAGTAGGTATCTCTAGGTGGTTGAGCTATGGGTAATTTTAATTCTCTCTATTGTTTGTATTTGCACTTGACTAGAATTGATTAGAATATGTATTTCAATGTAACAGAGAAAAAAGTTACAAGAGATAAAACTACATGTAAAGACTAAGAAAATTCTCAACTCATGCTTCAATTTATTTTGCTCATAAAGAAGTTAAAAAGTCATCACCTATTTCACAAAGTAGTATCACATACAAAATAAATATCTATAATAAAGTTTTTCCATCATTGCTTAAAAAATGAGTGTATTAAACATTACCTTTACAACACATAGGACTGTACTCCTCCTGAGTTCATGTGCAGGAAGTGACGAGAAGACAACTGATCATCACGAACAAGCACAAACCCACATAAATTGTCACATAACACTTAACTTGGGAGAAATAACTTATGAAAAGTAATTCTTTTTAAAGCCTCACAGCAACAAATTGCATGTCCTAAAGGAGGCTGTTGATTTCTAATGCAATATCTTACCTGTTTTTCATTAGCCTCAGCTCTCGCTTGCGTGTTGCTTCTTCTGCTAGTTGCTGGGGACTGTGCAAACTTCCTGGTGAGGCAGCCATCACTACTCCCTGTGGCAAAGCAGAGGTTGGGGCTCGGATCTGGTAAGTTGGCATGTCACCAGTGGCGGCTGTAATGAAACAAAATATTACAAGCTTATATAGTTTACAACTTGATATTTTATATAAAACTGACCTGGAGATAACATGGTTCTTTTTACATATCATTAAGAAGTGATCTTACTAATGTTTAAAATGCAAGTATTATAGAAATTTTAGGTATTAAAGAACTCCAGCCTTTGGAACAATGATATTCATTCAGCATGCTGTTTTCAAGGTAGAAAAATACCCTAATGCAGGTTAGAAAGGTTTTGATGTTGTTGTTGTTTTAATCAAAGGATAATGTAGAGAGGCTTTCAACAGATAGTTTAACCTGAAATTAGTGGTGTGGTGATAAATGTTTGACAATTTCCTCTAGAGAGGAAATTTCACAAATAAATAGAGTCTATTCACAAATAAAGCCTATTTCTCAGGAGGAAAAGAATAAAATCCTGATCTATAGCATTTGTCTATTCCCATGAAGTAAATACTTTCACCGTACCAATTTCAAGTACCAATGTGATTTCATTGAATGTAGAGTTGGGAAGACATACACAGTAAGTAGCCCACCATACAGATAAAAATAGATGCAAATAATCTAATGAACATAGATAAAATAATTAAAAACAATGAATTTTTAGTGTTTTAATGTAACCTTTGTTTGTGTCTATATGTGTATATATATACACACATACATATATTTATGTGTGTGCATGTAGCTTTTAATAATGCCTATTTTAAAACCAGCCCGCAAAAATCTGGAAAATTTAACAATGGGCTCTAACAAATCAGTGGGAAGTGACTATAACACACCACTGCAAAAATTTCATTTCAGCAGAGTATCTCCATCTTCTGACTATCCCAGTTAAGAGATTTTCTTAAACCCTGTATCATACCTGAAACAGTTATTGTATGTCTAAGTATAAGACCAATCACCAGAAAATGACTGAGGTACTAAAAGGAATCTGGCTCACTGTGTTTTCAGTTTAAAAACAACCAACCAAATGAAAAACAGCAAAGTTCTGCTTAAAACTGGTTTCTCTGGGGAAAGAAAATTTTTGTGTTTCTTTGGCTTCTTGAGATAACACATTTTTAAGTATTCATTTTTTAAAAAATATTTTCTAATTATCATCAGTTAAATGACAGACTTAACATTTATTTAGTATTCAAGCTGAATACTAAATGTCAGTCCTCAAAGTCTCTGAATTTATAGTCAAAGTTTGTCTGTCTTCTGCAATAAACACAACTTCCTAGAAAAGACAGATGGATTTAACTGATGAGACATATGTCTACCACCATTGTTTCAACTTTGAGAACATATGGTGCAGAGTTAATGTGACACTGATATTACAAAATACATGCTCTCTCAAAGCTGAATATATATGAAAAAGATTTTAAAAGGCTATAAATTCTATAAAAATTGGTCTGAAACAAAATGTCAGTCAAAATATGAAAAATAGCACTTCCATAATGAATTAATACCCAATGAATAAAAACAAAACTTTACCCAGAAAAGTTTTTCACTTATGTGGAAAAACTTGACTTTTCACTAAAAAGTCAAGCAATTTAAAAAGTCAATAAAACTTCTATCCATGTGATTCTTTTTAGTTCCTCCCCCTCAACCCCACTCAAAAATTAGGTGAGAAAAAAACCAAAAAATGTGATTTGGCAGGATGATTGCTTTAAAAAGTCTTCATAAGATTGACAAAAATACCACTTATAAGATTATACTGCTTCTATATGTAATTAAAAAAACAGTGGTGATCAAAAGTAACTGTGATAAAAATAATCATCACCAGCAAAATCTCTCAGAAAACCTAGGGAAGCTCCTAAATTGGTTTTTGTGACTATTTAAAATACTGCATAGAGAGATCACAGATGTCTCATATGTTGGAGACAATTTCATAGCTCTGTAATATTTCAGAAGATAATTTTAAAACCAGTCATAAACACCTCACTAAAGTTTTTTTGTTTTATATTTTAATCATATTATCAAAGGAGATAGAATGAAGCACGAAACATAGTTCCCTCTTCTCTTTACCCACATCAAGGGAAGAAGTTTATGAGCTAATAAAGGCTGAAACAATGAAATAGCTGAAGGCAACACAGGTTTTCCAAAATTGGAACAGTGAGTGACGAATGAGAAATCTAAGTATCACTGTGTTGGCACTGCAGGCAGTGTGGATACAAACTTGATCTAGAGTGGTTGTTTCTATACATCACTTACAATTATCTGCAATAAAATTAATAGAAAGGTACAGACGGGATCATTATACTGTCGATCTAGTTTTGTATCCATCTATTTTCTGTACTATAAAGTTAGAGCAGAATGCTGATATGTTATACAAAAGTTAAAGAGTATTCATTTTTTTTTTAAGGAAGGGGTGGGAATAATTCATAGATAAAAAAGAAAGTTCATTTACTGATATTAATCAGAAATGGTTCCAAACGTTTGCCTGTTTCCAAAAGCTCAAAACACCCTGAGAGGACTCAATTTGGCACTATGAAGAATAATGGCAATTCCAAAGAAACATTCTTAAAACATATTTGAGCAACAGCTCAGGAAAAAACATCACTTTGAAATGTAGCTTGGAAAAAATTGTATATTTGAATGCACTTCGTTCTTGGATGTTAGCTAACAAATAGGCTTTTATTACAAGTTTTAAGACATTGTAGATATTCATTTTATCTCCTTCAACAAAAATCAGATGTGTAGCTCATTAATTAAAACATAATATAGATAAATTAGTAGGAATTATTATAAATTTCCATAATAGCTCAAAGAATCTATATGATGGCACATTTCTAATGGTCACTGAATAATCAATGGATTATGTTTATATATGACCTTATTAATAAATACATTAAAAAAAAGATGGGCAAAGGGAATCTCTTCTTCTGAGGAAATCCAATGTCAAAACATTCTGTTTTTTGAAACAAATTATAAAAAAGTTTTCATCTTAACTTCAGATGTCATTTACTATCATTTTAGTGGTAGGTTAAAGCAGATTAGATACCTAAGATTGCAGTTCACAGAAACATCCTATGTTCTTTAATATGTTTTCATCCCTGTGTCCTTTTTTTAAAGGCCAATTCCTGTCCCATCTTCTACTAAAAGTATCCAAATTAATATTTATTCTAGAATTTCAAGGTATGTTATCTTCAAAAATAGGTCATCAGTGGCTTTAAACTTGCAATTGAAAAAACAGAATAAGAAAAAAATTTTTTTTAAAAAATATATTTTTTTAAAGTTGCAAAAACTTTAAAAAAAGTCAGATATATATTTTTTTTTAACCATGGTATCCCTTAGAATCTAGTACTTGGTATATTAATAGGGGCTTGGTGAGTTTATATGTGCACTATGAAGTAAATTTTGAAATTCTCAGAGTTATACACAAGCCCACTGTCATTTTGAGTGTTTAAAATAGCAGTCTTATTATTGTAAGACTATTATTAGCTACTATTATAGCTGGGCCTTTAAGTCTTTAACATTAGACATGGAAAATTCTAATGATGCTTCGTATTTATTCAAACTGTCCATTCTTGATAAAAAGCATTTCCTAAATCTTCCCTTATATACTAGTCATCTAACCTGGCATTACAGAAGCAGAAGAGTTGTATTGATAGTGTGTTTTTAACCATCTGTCTCCTGACATGAAAAATATTTTTTTAGATTTAATATCAAATATTTCATGGGAAAAGAAAATTCCTAGAACTCTCAATTCTGGTCATTAACTTCATACCTCTCTTTGCAAGCTTTAAACACGGTACAGCAGAAAAAGCATGGGATTTGGAGTCTGGGTTCTAGTCCAGCTCTGCCACTTACCAGCCATGTGATTTGGGGCAAGTTCAGTTTCCTCATCTGTAAAATGGGGATACAGTATCTCATTTAATACTCACAATAAACCCTGTAATGTATGTCAAAGTGTCTAGCACAGTGCCTGGCACATGGTAGGCATTCAGCAAATGTTAGTTCCCTTCCTCTTCCCTTCCTTAAGTTCTGAAAGACAATGTTCCAAATTATGCTTATATTCTACATAAGTTAAAAGGTACATAACATCCATAAATATATTTTCCCTGGGAGTTTCCCTTCTAACAAACCTGGGGGACAGAATGAAATGTATGACTCTATTTCTTATCTTTTCTAAAAATATGCCCATTAAAAAGTTTTAAAAATTTAAGCTACATTTTGCTATATCCCTTTAGAGAAATAAAAGATAACAGAAAATGTCCTCTTCAATATATTGCATCATTAAAAACAGAACTTCAAATGTAGAGAATCACAAATAACCAAATGATTAATCTCATCAGACTGGTAATAAAAAAACTGAAAAACCTCTCATTTCTAAGAAGAGGAACAAAGAAAAAAAGAAACCCAGCCAAATGCCTATCTTGATATCTTCTAAAGTTAAACAATTTATCAATACCCCAAACGATGGTGATTTTATCCAGTTGTTTGTTTATTGAGATCTCTGTAGTACTGAACATATTAATTGAAATAAAAACAGTTTAATATGTGGAGTTGCTACCTGCATATTTCATTGCACTATGTGTCACTAATCGCAAATACATCCAAATAATGAGTAACCGGGTTACCATAGAAGTCATATTAATAACTAGGGGACTTCTTTCCCTATTGACATTTTCACTGTTCTTTTTTGGAATTCTCCCTCCCTATCACTGTATCAGTATTTCTAATGCCCAAATTGGATGTTCTTGCTTGGTGTCTCACACTGTCAAAAAATTTCCCTCCTCTATTGTTCCACTTTTTCAGCAACATTAAATCCTACATAAACGTGACTATTAGGCACTAAACATTTTCAAACGTGTTGACAATTACTGTAATACAGAAACCACATAGAATTAAGTTATTACATATTTTTACTTAAAGTTATACATAAGGACCCTTTCCTAAGTTGTTTATTAAATGAAAATCTCGAGTCAAAAAAAAATGTGAAAGATGAGAAATTATGAATATTGAAATTTAAAGTTCTATATAATGACAAATATATGCTGCATTTTCCTATGAGAGTAACAATATTCTAGGGGGAAAAAATCAATCTTAACTACTTAAAATGATACCAACTTCATTTTGTATATTTTATAAGTAGTATATAAACTATGCTATTATACTCATGTAACAGCATTAATTCAAAATGTCATGTGAATTTTGAGGAGCAATGAATATGGTGTGAACAGAATTGGACAAGGAGTCTGAAGGTCCACTTGCTAGTTTTTAAACTTACTAGAGTCATTTACCTACCCTGACCTGTGTTCTATTACATGTGAAATAAATATGTTTCCTTAGTGCATCATCTTATATGTAAGGGAGAATGCAGGAAAGTACTTCTCATCTAGGATATTTAAATATGGTTTCCTGGGCCTCCCTGGTGGCGCAGCGGTTGAGCGCTGGGTTGTGAAGCTGCCCGCAGCCTCTGTAGCGCCGGTTCGATCCCTGGCCACCGGGTGAGGGTCCCATATGGCGCTGCAGACCTCTCCTGCTGCCCACTGTTCCCCTCAGCAGTGTATTTCATCACTCTGCCTGTTCTGTTCCCCGCTCTGGCTCTGGTGAATTCTCTCACCCTCCCGCGCTTCTGACTGTACCCAGTGCTTGCTTCTGACTGTACCCAGTGCTTGTATAAATAAATAAATCTTTAAAAAAAAGTAATTAAAAAAAATATATATATGGTTTCCTACTCTTTAACCTATATTACCTATTTTCTACTCTTTAACCTATATTACCTATTTTCTATGGATTTCTCATGATCTTAGTTTCCTTGATCACATTTACCATATTTTTTACTTGCTTATTTGTAACAGTGAATGATTTTTAAAGTTTACATATATTCAAGAAAGCACCGTCATAATTATTTTATTAGGTAATATATTCATAGAGGCAAATAAAATAGTGAAACAAAAATCCCAAATTATATTTCATTAAATATTTTTCAACAATAATGGAAAAGAGTATGTAGGAAATTTCAGTTAACCTTCCATACAGATTTGGAATTTTATAGAAACTTAGGGGAGATAAGTGGCTTGTCATTTTCACTACCAAAATGATTTTAACTTTCTCTGCTACCAACTTTAAGAAGTTATTACAACCTGATCTAAACCATTCTATTATGTGAAAGTTTCTAAGCAAAAATCATTTCCAGTAGCCTCCTTTCACAAAGGTAAAATGGAATCTGTTCTCATAAGTCAAATGTTAAGTATGACACTGTTTTCTAAATTTTATTAAGTTGAAATGTTGAAATGTTTGTTTTTAATAATTCAGAAATCTAGGCTGTAAATAACTTAGTAAAATTTTTCAGACTCAAGAGTCCAAAAGATATGGAGTGATACTCCTAATATAATCAGCTTACAATTATAGCCAAGACTTATTTCTAATAAAAATTTAAACCATATTCAACAGAATCAGTAATATGATTCTATACAAAATACTCACTTTCCATATTTGATTCCACGATCCATTCTATAATTAAATGTTCCTAAGACCTTTCCCAGGCCAGCCATTATTGTTAGGAGCCTGATTTTAGTTTAGACAAGTTTTTCAAACTACAAGGTACAGATTATTGGTGAAAAAGTGAACTTTATAGGTCAAGAAGAGCATTTAAAGTCAGAAAAGGTCAGATAAGTATGAATACTTCACATTTGGTTAAAAAAGCATTACTTCGGACATTTGTTTTATAAAAATGTAGGGTAGATGAACACGCATGCACACACACACACACACACACACACACTCACACACACACCCAGATATACTGCACTATGATGGTCAAACAGTTTACATGCCAGTGGTCTACATCAATTCACTTGGTTTGCCGATCTAGACCATTAGTCCAGATTTCAGAATCCAAAGACCTGAGTTCTAAAGTCGCTCTATTATATTTTTTAAAAATCCCTTAAACCCTCTCCTCTTTGAGCTCCTTAATGGAAAAATATTTATGTGCTTGTGTATATATGTATTTGTATTTTTCATGTTTAAAAAGCATTGATTCTGTGAGGAACTCATTTCCAAAAACAATGATTTCCAAAGGCACAATGAGGTCTTGTGAAAAATTTGACATTTAAAGTTCTGGCATTTTGAAAATTTTAACTTGGAAATTATGTGCAACATTGGATAAAATTGAGTATGAAAAAAATCTCCCAGGATGGTATGTTTATTCTGTAAACATAAATGTACAAAACTGGTCATTTATTCACAAGCAATGCTTAAAATTTTATGCAAATTTTTACCTTAAACTTTCTTTATATGTTTTCAAATCATTTTATTTACACAAGCCTTTATGCCTAGACAAGTCAAACGGAGCACTGAAATTACAAACTTAGTGAAGACAGAAATAATTTTTAGAAAATAGATATATGCACAAAAAAAGAACAAATTTGGTTCTAAGTATCAAAGTTTAGATTATATCAAGACAATCTAAAAATTTGTCATTTGAGAGCTTCTGCAATCTGTAGCATTTCTAAAACTTCTTTGTGACAAACAATAATTCTTCAAGATAATTAAAAAAATTCAATACAGGTCTTACAATGAGATTATTCTACCTATAAAGCGTTGAGACCCATTAACTCTAAAGAGCCGAATTGCGGTGAAGCTGTTTAAGATCACCCATTCTTCATGAATTCGACTACAAATTCATGCCTGAGTTAGAAATAAGACATCACTGAAGAAACAACACTGAACCACAGAAAGGACATCAGCAACTGAGTCGAAATTACCACCTGTAACTAAGAAAACCAAACCGTGGAAAGAATGACTGGATTACAAACTGAAACAGCTGCGTCTGGGGCACAATACTCACACATGCACTTCCTTCCCTGAGCACCAGAGGGCGCCCTGAAACGCGAGTTGCCCAGGGTAAAGCCCCAGCAGGCGCCCCCCCTCGCCCTACGCTGGCTGAATCCCTCAGCAGGGGCCCAGCAGGAGCTCAAAGAACCCCTAAATGGCCAGTCCGCGCGCAGTTCTGCACGCAAGAGCATGACAGGCTTCATCGAGGTTCCCCCTGGTTAAGGGGATACTTACCGCACCAGAAAGGCTAAAGCAAAGCTTACAAGAAAAGCTATGCAGTCTATGAGCGATCTTGGAGGAAGAGGTGGTGGCGAGCTAGTTAATGAACGACGCTAAATTTGTCAGCAGTACTTGACAAAGCAGAAAGGAACTGACTAAATCACAGCATGACTAGGGGCTGACGTCAATGTGCAGCTCGCTTGGAGTTTAACTTTTCCACTTCCCTGCCGAAACACGATTCCAGGAAATGCAATGACGTCAGCCGTTTGAACTCAGCAGAGGAACAGACCATTTTAAATACAGGAGGAAAGAAACAAGTAGTTACACAAACATCCCTAACATGCTGACTTTTCCTATTCTGTTTGGGGCTACATTTGTACACAGCAACGAAACTGGAAGTTTAAATCTTTACCATTCGAACAGAATATCTTTTAACTTGTAACTGCATTAGGTTTGCAACAGGTTGCAGACGAAGTAGAGACAAATGAGGGGGTTGGGGGTGGGGGAAGGGCCGATTACTGTTTTGGCCAAGTAAACAGTAACACTGAGCAGAGAAACAATCACACATATATGATGCCTTTACACTACTATTACAATGTGCTGAGTGTGTGTGTATGTGTGTGTGTGTGTGTGTATAAAGAAACTTCCTACTCCTCAGCCACTAGAAAATACTTTTTGAAAACACTCAGAGGTCCCTAAATAATTTTTTATATTAAAAAAAAAAATTTTAAACCCCTCTTTGAAATTCTTACCTGTTTCATCTCCAGTTACAGCCATGATGGGTTTCTGCATACAGTACTGTCTTGTTTCCTCTATCACAGGTCAATATAAAGTGTTCCAAACTA